GGGTTTTTTTTTTTTGGACAGGGGGAGTGAGAAACTTGTGTTTCTGGGCTACAAGCTAGAACAAAGAAAGCCTGAGTTTCTGTAAGCTGCATTCATCAAAACTCTGTGAAGGGAAGAGTTTGGGGGGAGGCTGGAGAGGACAGTGGCGAGATAACCTTGTACACATTGTTCAGCTCTAGGGACCAGTAAGATGGAGAGCATTTTTTTGGTGCTTTGAGTTCTTGTGGAGTGAGTGTCAGTGTCTTTGGAATGGTGCCTTAATTTTAAAATCGTCTAGCTGTGGCTAGGTTAGGTGTGTGTTAGGTATGATGCCTAGCATCTTACAGACTTTGCCCCTGCCTTCAGCTACACTTGTAGATGAGTGCCTTGATTATCATTTCCTTTCATCAACCTGTGTTTGTTAGTGTTTGTGTCTCTGCAACTTAGAGTAGCTATTTAATATCAGCAGAACAAGTTTGATTGGCACTCTTTTTATTTTTTTTTAATTTATTTAAAAAAGGAGAAAGGTTAATCCATTAGTTCTAAAACCTTTGCCTAGATTTCGTTTTGATGCCCTAGTGGTTCTCTATCCGTAAACTGCACTTTTGTAGTCTTTTTAAACATTTTTTATATTTTAAAGTATTTTAAGGGACTATAAATACTTTCATGTCAAACTTTAGTTGAAACAACTGAGCAAAAACTGTGCCTTAGTAGATCCATGTTAGTTGCCATGACTGATGATATACTTTATAAAGATTTGTGGGGGTTTTGTTTGGTTGGTTGGTGGGGGTGTTAGCCTGTAGCAGTAATCCGTTATAAAGATGAAAATAAACACAGTGATTGTTCTGAAATTTGTTTTCATTGCTATAAAGCTTTTGTTTAAATACTTCTAATCTGGTAGTTTTATCGTGGAACTGAAGTAACCCAGCAATAGCCTTAAGGTTAGCTGAATATATCTGACCCTTCAGCATTAGCTGTGAAACCCTTCCTCCCCGCCTCAGGATAAATATTTGCCTTCTGTTGAACAGGATAGGTTCCTCTGCACTACTGAAAAACATGCTGGCTTCTGCAACCTAGTTTAACTGAAAACCTCCCTAGGAATCATTTTTCTTAATTCTATTATTGCATTGACACCAAATTTACATGTGTATATGGTAGAGAGCTTTTCCACATCATCCCTTCTCCATTGCACGGAAAAATGAACACATAACCCTGACGGGTCCAGATGAATTTACAAATCCGCTGTTCTCTTTGAGCATCTGTGTGTCTGACATTCATAGCTTTACAAGAATGTCATCTGTCTGTAGTTGATGTTTTCCTGTTTTAATAAATAATCAAGTGGAAATTTTCCTTTTCTACCTCTTGGGAAAGATTCAGGACAGAGTATCTGCTCTCTGACAATACTGAGAAAGAACTGCCACTATTGCTTTGGTTGAAAGAAGAGCATGCTTGATTCCTGCCTGTGAGCTTACCCCTCTCCTCTGATCTGAATCCGATCCACTTTCTGGGGATAGTCCAGGGGTCTGAAACTGTGCGTTTATTTGCTGAAAGAGGACTTTCCCAGCGTTGACCATCTCTCCTAAGCACACGCTTATTTCCGTTGTGCAAGTTTCCCTCAACTGAACTTGGCTCCCGCAGGCTGGGGAGCGAGCCCGCCTCCGTGCACGGCACCAGTCATCTCTACAGCCGACGCTCGCAGAGCCAGCTCCTTCCTCTGGCTTTTCCAGCCAATTGCCGTCTACCTGCTCTTCTCCTAGAGGCAGTGTTAGCAGAGGAAGCGAGCTTTCCAAACAAAGCTGCTTCTAAGCTTTTGATCTGAAAGTCAAGGAGATTTGAGGAAATGGGCCTGACGGGAGAATCATCTGACTGGAATCTCTAAAATTAATCCACCAGTTAAGGTATGACAATGGGCGCGCAGAGCCGTTTCACTGTTCCTGGACAGCTGGAGGGGAGTGAAGACATCGGTTAGCTTCCAGCCTCTGTCCTAAGAAAAGCTGAGTCAGATGATTATAGAGGTTCTCTTTCTGGGTCAGGAATTAAATAAACTCATTTTCATTATTTTGTCCATCTCAGATCTCAGCATCTGACTACTGCTGTCTGCTGTCAGCAGCCTTGGAATGTCAGGCCACCAAGCCAGTTGCTCTAATAGGTGTGTAACGCCTGCTACTCTGTGAGCTCTGAGCAGATGGAGTGTGTGTAGCATTTGCATATGCTCACTTCTTAGAGGCCACCCAGTTAATTCAGTTTTCTTTTTTATTATCCACAGTTCAGATATATGTGCAATAATCAATAAGAGATTGACTTCCACCAAAATATTCAGCTTGGAAACAGTACCCATCAGGGATGTGTTAATGTCTGATTATAAACTGTAAAAAGAAGGGTGCCACACAGGGTTGCTGTACATGCATATTTCTTTTGAAATATGATATTCTCAAATAATGTACAAATTACGGGGCTGTTACTCTTGATCTACTTCTTTAGAGTACAGCAAGTCATAACATCTGAGAAGCAGGGTCTTGACTTTTTGCTTCCTAAGATGAACTTGCAGATAAACATCACAGCAGACAGAAGTATTTCCTTCATGTGACATTATTAATAGTTCACGACCCGCTGTGGAGGAGGACAGGGGCTAAACATTCCCTTCAGCTCCATGTAGGTCATATCACCTCCTGGTCTAAGTTCTGTTTCTCGTTGTAGGCAGGAGTGTGTCTCTACCTATAGACTGAACCCAAAACCTTACGGGTCCCAAACTGGTCTTTATGTGATAATGGTTTTCAGTCCAGTAACTGACTTAAAGATTGAATTAATTCACTGTTTTATAACTTAGCCTTCAGCACATGGGTGTATTGCACCGCCTACCTGAAAGAAGCGTGCATGTAAAAAGCTAAGGTCCTTTAAGCATAGCTATCATATATGTTCTGAAGAGCTATTTCTATTTTAATCATGTTTTTAAGTAAATGCTAGTGCTTATGGAAAATATGTCATTGATGGCTCTGGAAACTGAGATATCACAGTTCCGTTTCCTGGTTTGTTTTTCAACTGTTAACCTGAGCTTATATGGACATTTCTCTTGTAATTCTAAAAGCCGCTTGGTTTTCAGGATTTTTTTGTGGAAAACTAGTCCTTCCAGGGCAAGATGCAGTATTTTTTTTATGAGGGAGGGGTCATATATCTTAATTTTATGAAGGTTATTATATATAAGCTTAATTTAGGGTGTTTCCATATTTATAATTAAGCTAGTAGTATGGGAATCAGATTCTCCCAATAATGTATTAGAACGATGCTTTGCAAAGCAGTAAGAAACCCAGAAGACTGTATTTTAATTCATTACTGCTCACCTGTAGTACTTAACATATGATTCGCTTGACAGTTGTACACTTTCTACACAGAAGCTCAGCATTTTCAAAAACAGGTGCCTAAAATTAGTATAGTAAGTCCTTATTTAGTTCCAAACTTTGGCTGGCTCTAGGGGAATAGGCTGTAGCATAAAAGTGGTTTTGGGCCTCTAGGTACCAATTAAATATCCTGTTCTGATAAATACTGACTACAAAAACTCTGATCAGTGGGGAAGGAAACAGCTTTCACTTCTGGTAAATAAAAGACTTGGTATCAAGACTTTAAACAGTAGGTTCAGGCTTATAAACACAAGATGTAAAGATGTATAAGTGTGTGGAAGTCGAGAGGTGCCTCTATAGGGGAGATATATGTTTGGGGAGAAGACAAGGAGATGGAGAGATGACAACTGAGATGGTTATGTCACCTTGATACCTTAGGAATGCTTGAATGTGTCTACCTTATAGATGTTTGCCAGAGTATTGGAAAAGTTCCAGGTGCTGCCATTTTCCTGATTATTTTATAACTAGCTCCATACAAATGCAACAAATTTTGGATTGACCCTTTGCATTCCACTCGATGAGTTCATGATCTCACATTGTAAATATTCATTATTCTTATGACATGGAAACTAATTCTAAATGGAAAAAAGTGCACAGAGCATCCCTTCAGAATTAGAGAAAAGAAAACCAGCTTTCAGGAAAATGCAAAGAATATGAGAGTCTTACAAACTTTATTACTGTTTGTATGTTTTACTTTTTGCATGGAATATAACCTAATGGTATTCATAATTAAATCAAGTGGAGAACTGCAAATGCAAAAGGAGTCCAAAGAGAGAATATTTTCTAAATCTTCCACAAGTCTGTTGGTTTGGGGAGGAAGGGCGTAAATGGGAGGGAGAAGAGGCAGACAATGTAGCCTTTTTTGTTTTTTTTTTTTAATACAGTTTTCTTTTTTACCTACGTGGCTTTATGTGTGACTTATAATTCTC